GGCTTGACAATCAATTTTGCTACTCAGAGCATCCCATTTGTGGGCTATAGCCTATCCATTTATGGACTGCTGACTTGTGCATGAATTTGATCTCAAATTCAGGGCAAACCATGTGCACCCTAGAGCTGCCTTGCAAACATCTAACTCGCGCATTGGAATGGATGGCTACGTTCTTCCTCCACTGTCTCTGTATGCTCATTGCTGGAGAGTTTGCACACACCTACACCCTTTTATTTTTGTATAACGGGGTCAGCAGTAACCCATGAATCAGTAAAAGGTTTTAAGCATGGAATGGTGGTTGGTGGTGGTGAGCAATGAAACTCTTACCAGAGATTCCCATGACCTGTCAGCAGAGGAATGGAAACTGTTAGCACTGCACCATGCTGACATATGCACAGGTTGCTGAGTAACTAGCAGTGCCCAGCATTTTGCTGACCCGTTGAAAACACACCCGTATTATATCAACGCTTATATTTCCCTTTTTACATGCTCAGTGAGTTCTGATCTGTGCTAGTAACGGATATGGGTGGCTTTGATTTTGAAAGGCCATGCATCTTCTCAAGCATGTATTTCCCATCACCAGCACTTTATTAAAAAGATATCTTGAGCATTCTTCCCGAGGCAGATTTCAGTACAATCACAAAACCACAGTGTGAACCCTGCTTCATCTGAATGAAGGCTTCGTTTTATTGGCTGTGTGAATTGTAGTGTTTCAAAAGCTTATGAGCTTAATACAAAAGGCTGCATCAAAACAAAACTGACTGCACTTATTATGGCTAACTCTTCAAAAATATGCCCAAGGTTGAAATTTAGCATGATTCTGTTCCTGTTCCGTAATGACAATGAGCCTGTTCCAGGCTGCTCTGGAACTGGTATCAAAAAATGGAGCTTCTACTCTTCTGGCTGGCCAAGCCAGGGACTTGTGTTAATGCCTAGGTGTGTGGAAGGAGATGGTCTCTTGGTCAATCCAGAACCTTTGGTTGGCATCACCTCAATCCTACTGCTGAGTCATGAGAGATTGTTAAATACAGTAGGCTCCCAATTTATGCCAATTCTATCTACACATTTGCAACTTTGTGCTGATTGCCAATAAATTAAAAAACTAGAAAGGGGCAGGAGACCCTTGTGGTACTGTCCCAGAGCCCAGCAAGCAAGGCAGAGGGCTTACTTGTTCCTCAAAGGGTTTTCTAACAATGGAAAGCACTTTGAAGGCCTTCATCTTGATTACCAGGTTCTGGGAGGCTTCACAATAGGGCACTGGGAGGTTCCCATGAGATCTCACAGGGCTATCATGAGATCTCAGATGGTCCTGATCTCATGGGATCTCAGATGGCGGGGTAGTTCTGATTGCATGATTTCACCTTTATGCACAACCCCTGGGAATGTAACCCTTGGATAAGTTGCAATCGTGGTGCATATTGAGGTGACTTAAAAGCAAAATGTTGAGGTTAACATCGCTTCATTGAGCACAAATGAGCTTGTCTAACACAGTATAATATGCAGTGGCGGGGGGGGGGGGACTATTCCCAAGGTCTCTTTTAGAGATAAGAACAGAGCAATTGCTATTCCCATATTCAGTTCTGTTCATAACTAACTCTCAGGATAATAGCAAGCTCGCAAATCAAATCTGTTTTGCGGGATTAATTTGTAGATTAAACTAATTGGTGATTTGTATTTGAAAGTGAAATAGGAAACACCATTGCGTGTTGAGTCCCACAATGCCACCCCCCAAAAAATTCACACTTCACACATCAATTTTTGTTTAAGGTTTTTGGCATAATTTTGGCCACAACTTTATTCAAAATACAAAAAAATGTGAGTGGTTGCTTAGGCATTGGTTATGACTATCTGTCCTTGCCCTCAGGGACAGAGCTGGCCTTCCGGACACCAACGGAAGCCAGCGTGGGAAACAAGTATTGGGTGAGAAAATGAAGCTGGGCATCAGTCCCTCACTTCTCACCCTCATGTTCCTGTGGGGCTTGCACGGCCCAATTCCGATGCCAGGGACAAGGACGAAAAGAATGGCAAGCCCCTGGATTCCTTTAACGGAATTCCCTTTCCGCATCATTTGGAGGGGTAGGCACTTACCCCTCCAAGCACCAATTTAACCAGTGCCTAACCGCCATGGAGCCCACAGCTCACCGCCAAACCACTCACAGACCCAGCCAAGCCCTCAGCTTGCCCACCACTGCACCCAGCCAAGCCTCATTCCCTGAGGCAGAAAGATGCATGCCATCAGCTCTGAAAAAGGATGCAGCCTGAAAAAGAATCTCAGGATGGGAAATCACATCTCCACCCAGCTCAAAAATCTTTTTAGACACAGCAGAATTGATGCGCTTCCTGGCCCTTTCAGTGGCAGCTGGGCAACGACTACCCTTCCAAACACGTCGTTGCAAAAGCTTTGACCAAAATATTTTTGCTGTCGGCACCACTGCCTGCAGCTTCTCCAGGTCACCTAAAATTGCAGCACGTAGTGAAAAAACAGTCCATGGAAACCAGGTCGTTCTCACCCAGCTGCACCCCAACAGCAGCACCTGCCTCCGAATCAGCGGCAGGAATTCTGGCTGGCGCATTCCCCGTCTGGACAGCCAAGGCAACTGCACATGTGGAGGAAGGCCGAGACCCGGTCCCAATCCGGACTGCCGTGCACTGATGCCAGCCCAATGCATGATGCTGTGCCCCACCATCCAGATGCGGACAGCTGCTAAACCTAAGATAAAACAAGCAAAAATTGTAAGACACCAATAATGTTAACGAACATAACCTTTGAATGCATTCGATTTCCAACGACCTGTATTTTATTTCCACTGCCTTATTAACACGCTTTCCGGCCTTCTTGGTGGTAGTTTGTCTAGGCATTGGTTGCTGACTAGCTGCACCTGACCTCAGCAGGGCAGCACTGACGACTGGGCCCCACCATATCGTCAGTACAAATAAACAGCGTGGGGGAGCAATGAAACAGGATCAGACTCAAGCTCACCCCCAAATGCTCCCAGGGACTCTTGCGTGGCCCTACCCCTCGAAAGGGGTCGACAAAAGCATGGCGAATCCTTGGAATACCGTATTTTTTGCTGTATGAGACTCACTTTTTCCCTCCTAAAAAGTAAAGGGGAATGTGTATGCGTCTTATGGAGCGAATGCAGGCTGCGCAGCTATCACAGAAGCCAGAACAGCAAGAGGGATTGCTGCTTTCACTGCACAGTGATCCCTCTTGCTGTTCTGGCTTCTGAGATTCAGAATATTTTTTTCCCTTGTTTTCCTCCTCCAAAAACTAGGTACGTCTTGTGGTCTGGTGCGTCTTATAGAGCGAGAAATACGGTATCTTTGCACATTGGAGGGGACAGGTGCTCCAACCCCCCCCTCCAGACCACCTTGAACCAATGCCTTAAATTATTTTGAGTCCAGGGAGAGCTGCCATCAACTCAATCCAAGCCCTCTTGCATGCAGGAATGCAAACTTATGCTGGAGGAAGACGGCAAGTCATTCTCGTCCAGCTGCACCACCAGCACTGCGGGAGGACCTGCACAGGTCACGCTCAACCGCACCAAAGGAAGGATCTCCTCCCAAAGCATTCCCCATCTGGACATCCAGTATATGTTCACATGGGCAGGAAGACTGAGATGGCGCCCCAGTCCAAACTCGTCAACCTGCTTGCCAGCCTAGTGTACAATGCTGTGGTCCAAATGTGCACAGCTGCTCCTATGAAAAAAGGAAATAACAGACAAGCATCAGCACAGACATCGTTGTGACACTTCCTGATATAACCCTTGTCAGCGTCAGACTTCCAATGACCCGTATTCACAATCCTGTCTACTGACAGGCCCCCAGTGTGCAGCCTTTGCAGCAGCACCTAATCGTAAGGAATGAGGCGTGTTCAGCGGTAAGCAAGCCGCAGGCCGCAATAACTGGTGCACGACGTAAGCACATTGATGCCTGGCTAACGGGAACCCATTTTCATGCACTAGGAGTGGGCCAGTCCCCAGGGAATGAAAAGCCAAATATTCTGTTATCCATAACCGGGCAAGGGCCCTCCTCACCTGTGGCGGGAAGCCTGATTGTGGCACTCCTGCCCACTAAGTGTGTTTTAAAGTTCCCAACTCTAATGACAAGCTCCAAAGGATAAGGAAAAGTCCTGAAGCAATAAGCCTCCAGACTCTCAGCCCCGTGCTGACTCCAACAACCATTTTCCCAACCCTCAGTGCGAAAATGCAATGGACTACCGAAAGGAGTCTTGCCTTGATCTTTAACCATCAGACAAGTTTTAACTTGTTGCAGATACTGCATAGGTAAAAATTGACCGACTTCCTGCCCACTGTCCTATGAGGTTGGAGCCTATTCCAACCTTCCAAGGCCCTGCACACTACAAACTTTATACAAGGGTCTCTGAAAAATAAAGCTTCAGTGTAACAGACATTGCAGCGGACTGAATTCTGATAGTTATAACAGCACGCCCAACCTGCAGCAGGTGGACCAAATACTGCAGGATCTGCTCAGAGGATGGGGGCCAATTCATCTGAATGGCCGAGGACTGCCAGCTTAAGGCTAAGAAATCCATCCAGGCCTTCCCATAAGAGCTAAAAGCAGAAGGGGAAATGGAAGCTGCTGCTCTCTGTAATTACTAATTGTTGTCAAAATGCCACAGGTGGTCTGGAAAAGTCTGGCAATAGCTGAGTCTGGAGTCCAGGATCTGAAGCGCTTCATCTGAAAATGGGATAGAGTGTCAGCGACATCATTAGAGGATCCCGTAATTTGGAGAGTAGAAAGCACAATATTAAACCTTAAGCAGCGCAGCTCGAAAGCATGAGCGGAGGGGCAGAGACTGTGCTAGAGCGTGAGGACTGTTTTGCCAAGACGCTCACCACTACCTGGTTATCAGACCAAAAGCAGATCCGATGGTCACTGAACTCCTCGGGCCACATGTGAACTGCTACAACAATGGGGAAAACTCAAGAAAAGTTATGTCACATGATTGCCTCACCACACCGGGCTTGAGGCCATAGCTTTGCACACCAGCAGCCCTTGAAATAAAAACCAAAGGGCAAAGATCCAGCAGCACCAGCATGAACCTGAAAATCCCTGTGCGGGTTCAAGGTATCCTGCCATGGCGAACTACTATTGCATTCATTTTGGAATTGCAGCCATCGCATGAGATCTGCGTATCACCTCACTTGGTAAGCGTACACGAAGGTAAGGGGACCTCAGGTCGCAGGCAGCCTGGCCTAGCGGGAATGGAAGGGGTGGCCTGGGGCAACCACTCTGCATGCAAGATTAATTAAGTGACCCAGCAAGATCGGATCTGATGAAGCATCACTTGCTACAGAGGAAGTATTACAAAATAACTTCCTTCAAGGCAGACAGCTTCTCCATAGGCAAGTGGTATGTTTTAGCAATGATATCCAACTGGATCCCTAAATAAAATGGGAATATGGGCAAAAGGTATTGAGCTATTGCTGGCCAGCTTCCAGCCCTCGCTTGGGCAGGGGGCATCTTGTGCTGCCATCATGATATGTAAATTTACAGGGCCGACGCTGGCCAGAACCCCTAAAGAAGTCCCGACAAAGCTGCCACCGAGCCAGCTTCCTTTTCAGACACACACTCTGTGCAATGCAAAAACACACTCCGTGCAGTGCACACACACTCCATGCAATGCTACTACACACTCCGTGCAATGCAAAAAACACGCTCCGTGCAATGCAACTACACACTCCGTGCAATGCACACACAAACCCTCCGTGCAATGCAACTACACACTCCGTGCAATGCAACTACACACTCCGTGCAATGCAAAACACACTCCCTGCAATGCACACACACTCCATGCAATGCAACTACACTCCATGCAATGCAACTACACACTCCGTGCAATGCAACTACACACTGTGCAATGCAACTACACACTCCGTGCACTGCACACACCCTCCGTTCAATGCAACTACACACTCCGTGCAATGCAAAAAACACACTCTGTGCAATGCAACGACACCCTCCATGCAATGCACACACACTCCGTGCAATGCAACTACACACTCCGCGCAATGCAACCACACCTTCCGTACAATGCAACAACACACTTCGTGCAATGCAACTACACACTCCGTGCAATGCACACACCCTCCATGCAATGCACACACCCTCCGTGCAATGCAACTGCAAATCTCTCACACAATGCAATGCAATTGCAGCCCGTGCAGCGCCGTGCCCTGCAACGCACAGAGCAAACTGCAATGCGGGCACGCAAAGGTGCTTTCTCCCACTTGCATATTGCAAACGTGGCGCCCGTTACATCCCTCGCAGTGAGATAACCACCAAAAGGACCTAAGTGTCCAGGTAGAGCAATGGGGGAGCATGCAGCTGTCCCATACAGGGACCAATCCTGCAACCTAGGCATTACCGGCACTATGCGCTGACCCAGTGAAACCAATGCTTCATGGACCACATGGGGACACTATTCAGGCCGGAAATGCTTCCAGGCCATTGAATTCTAGGGCAAAGCCCTAGGATCACCTGCTAGGCCAGGCATAAATGTTTCCAGTGAAATAGCAGAGTTGAGGTAGCCCACAGCTTGTCCAGGTACCCCTGCTTGCCCTTTTAGAGGGAAGCACCCCTTCAAGAAACCCAAAGTTCTTTTATCACAAATGGGCCGAACTACCCAGCAACAGAATAGCCCAAAAGGAGCAGTTTGTTTTGTTTTGTTATAACAATGGCTAAGAGGGGGATATGAACCCTGTCTCCCAGATCCTAGTCCTACACTTTAGCCACTAAGCCACAATGGCTCATCTCTAAAATGGCAGTCGCCACTATCAGGGCAAAACAAACTTGAAGAAAATAAATTTGTTCAGAAACAGCATAGTTCAAGAGCATATACAGAGTGCTCATAGTCCTTGGAGGCACAGGGAGCCTCTGGGGCCCTCTGTCTGCCTCAGATATACATTAGCAGCAACTGGGCCTGCAAGCAGATACATTCCTATAGCGAGAATGAGTCACGTGTCAGAGACTTAATAATTAACTGCTACCTGTAGCAGACTTAGGCTTGGAAGTTATGTGCAGGCTGAATAGGCCTCCCTGCTTCTGCTCTTGAGAATCTTAGTCTCATAGCAATATTAAAGGAACTCAAAATAGTGCTCCCGCCCAAGGCTAGCTTAAAATTTGGCCAACAGCGCTGCACACACTCAAAATAAAGCCAACCTTCGGGGATACTATAAACGAAAGTGATTCCAGCTAAGCTGGGAACAGCCCTGACTAGCCCCACAATTTCAACAAGAGAAATGGGGGAAACCTTTTTGCGAAAGAAAGCCCCTAATGGGGGCTCTCTCCCTATTGGGAAAGGCAAGCCACAGATACAGGGAGAATCTTCCCACAGGGCAGGGTAAGGGGTGGGGTGGGAAATCGAACAGGAAAAGGGGGGAATTAAATTATTTAAGGGACTAGAGAGGATTAAAAAGAAAGGGGAAATAAAGAAATAAAGAAATGTAACCAGACAATGAGAAGATTTTCCAACTGCTCCATGTGATCCGGTGCAAAACGGCCAAGAGGACGTCCAACGTCTGGCCCCTGTATTTAAAGACTCTGACCCCTCCTCCAAATTGGCAACAATCAAAACTCCCCAGCAACCCAATTTTAACCACTTAAAGGCTTGGGTTCCTCACCAAATCTGCCCAGTAACGGCAGGGTGGCTTGTTCCCCCAACCGCAACACGTGCTCTCTGTTAGGGAGAACACGCTTTGGCTGAGGGGAAGGGGAAGGTCTTGCTAACTGCAAGCTGTTATCCTTTGCCATTTTTTTATAATTCTTTCACTTAGTGCATTACAGCGAGAGCTGTGCAACTCCTATTACATGGATCAATAGGGAAAGAAACACAGGAGGAAGCATGGCAGCTTTTCAACAGCTTCTTAAGAAGCTGTATTGAAGTCTTCATTTTCACTGTCACAAAGCCCTGCTGGATCAAACCAAGGGCCTAGCCAGATAGCATCCTCTTTTGCACAGTGGCCAACCGGATGCCTAAGCTCACAAGCAGGACATGAAGAAGCATGCTGCCTTTGATCCTGGTGGTATAAAATAGCTACCATGACTAATAGTAATAGCCATTGATAGCTTTGTCCCCCATGGTCTAATCCTCTTTTAAACCTGTCCAGGTTGGTGGCTGTCACCTAAGGACACACACACACACACAAACACACTTTTTAAAAACTTTCTTCATCACCCAAAAGTGATCATCTCCTTTCAGGCAATGAAGGGAGAAGTTCTGATTTTGGGTTGTGCCCCATTGCAAATGGTATGAGACCAGTCCATTTGGTCTTTCCTCTGTTGTTATAACCCATACATGCTATGCTTGCATCAGTATGCTTATGAATATCGGCTGCCAAAACTCAGTACAATTTCCAAGTGAGGCAGCCCTGATCATTACGCTATAAAAACTGGAGAGCACAAGCAAGTTGTCTAAACAAACCTAAGTGAAAAGTTCTGTTTCCTAAAGTTAAACTGACACTGAGAAATGAAGTGAAACACCATGTTAAAGCACTCTGATCTTCAATTATCTATACACGTTGCTTCCAACACAGTGGTTCATGGTGCCTTTGCATTCAAATTGAGCAGCTTGACACAACCATAATTACTATGACCTCTCCATTGTTACCATGAGGTGTTGACATCTGTATACCGTAAGCAGCTGGTGGGTGCATCTGCTTAGCAATTAAATGGCTGGCCCTGCCCAAGGATTAATGCCAAAACTTTGAGTAAGAAGCGGGGTTGATCAAATGTTAATTGCAATTACACTGTCCCCTGTTCTACACCTGCCTCAACTTTCTCAGTCTTCAAGAAGTTGTTATTTGATGTGTGACTTAGCAACTTCAGGATATAATCCTTCTGTTCAACTAGCCTGTGCATTACTCATACCAACTATTTAAAAGGTGGCTTCCAAACAAAACAAAACAAAACGATAGCTTTTATTTTGAAAATGTGCTAAAACCATAACACAATGTTGGTACTTGGGGCACTTTTGGAATCACAGACAATTGAGCCAAAGATGATTTCATATATACTTGCAAAACAAGTATAAATGTTTAGAAGGGATCCTGTAAAGAAAACTGCTCTAGATCCAAGTAAGGGACACACTTCACAAAATGTTTACCCATGTGTGCATCATCAGCTGAAATGCCCCATGAATGAAGCTACAGCCTCTCAAACTAATGCTCAGCTTTCAGCTTTCAACATCAGTAAACGAGGGACGCAAACAATGCATTAGTTAAGACAACGCAGATGCTTTAACTATTTTCATGCCCGTGTGGAAATTGTTGGCCACCTAGATTGCTGCTAAGATACGAAAAAGCATGAAGTGTTACAGCTTTGACAAGACAATCCATCAATCTCTGGCATGCAATTAGGCATGTCATATGTGGAGTCATGCTGAAGATCAAGAAGGTTGTCCAAAATGATCCGAGTTGTGATCATTTGAATGGCTGCTTTTCAGCAACGCATACCTGAAGGTCAAACTACACATCATATTAACACATAGCACACAGACTCCAGTTTTTCTTTGATTAACTGCAGGTGGAGGGGGTGATTTTTACATGAACCACACCCCATGGGGAGGCAGGTTTATATCTTGTCTTCCACTGCAGTTGAGATATATACATGCACCCATACAGCTAGCAGTCTAAGGGGGTGGAGTCCCAGATTAGGGAGGAAAGTTCCCATTGGTACCAATGAGAAGTTTTTTTCAAAGACTCCTTGTTTTGTATAGGGGATTTTAATCCTGACTGTGGCTAGGAGGAAGCGAATGGACCTGACCTCTCTATGCATCTCCTGTGCTTGTCAGTAATTAAAGAAAATCCACAGCAGCATGCTACACACTAAGTATAGCATGTGGTTTTATCTGCTAGTCATGGGTAAAAATTCTGCTTCTGTACTCTGCAGGACCCTTTCTTTCTGCACAGATGCATCTACCAAGGTGTCTGCTTTTCGGTAGGTCATTATGGCTGATGGAGCTGGTGGACAAATGGGAATGAACAAAGGACAAGGCAAACTATCAGAGAAATTCAGGGAGGTGAACCTATGCCATGCTGCCTTTAAAACAGCTTTGTGCAGGCCTTGATTGAGAGAATATCTGATCTAGTGCTCCAATAAGAAAATACCATAGGTATATCATAGTAGCATATACTGTAGAAGCCTCTGAAAATTGTACTTTTGACAGCATTTCACCGACCTTCTGTAGTAAGACAATAATGTCCTTGTAGATTATCATCCAGAACCACATGCATTCATATCAGTTTCATTACTCATCTTAGTCCCCTTCACAATTTGATATGGCATTGTCATTAGAAGAAGAGGAGTTTGGATTTGATATCCTGCTTTATCACTACCCTAAGGAGTCTCAAAGCGGCTAACAATCTCCTTTCCCTTCCTCCCCCACAACAAACACTCTGTGAGGTGAGTGGGGCTGAGAGACTTCAGAGAAGTCTTATCAGAGCTTGCAGGGCAGCAGCTGAAGAAGGTGCAAAAAGGGTTTTCTTGTGTGTGTGTTTCTTTGTGGCTGATTAGCTGCTCTCCCTGTGCAGTTTGATCCATCTTTTAGATTTAGGGGAGCTAGTCTCAAACGTTTGTTGGGGGAGACCTAGGTTTTTTTTTGTGGGGATAGTTATTTGTCCTGTCTTCACGCTTTTTATGATGGAGGACCACTGTAGCCACCCCCAACGACACGTTCTCAAGATGGAGGGGGGAGGGAACAGCTGCAGTCGCCTGCGGTTCCTGCGCAATGTTTGCCATCTTGCCAAAGGTTGCAGGCAGCTTTACCTGCAGCAATTGCATG